ATGTTTGGTCCTCTGTCCGGTTTGATCCTGTAAATAAAGCAGAAAGCGGTTGAGCCACCTAAACTTATGGAACATGCTCAGACCCCCTCGTCTAGAACCAAAAGAAACTGATAATACCCAAATTAAACAAGACAACCAAGCCACCAAAACTTATGGGACAATACTTGGTTCCAAAAAAGTCAGCCGCAAACAGCCCTCGCAAGTCAGAGCAACCAGACCACCCAAACTTATGGAACATGTCTGGTTCTCCAGACAATCAAAAATAAACATAGCACTTGGCCTCTCCAAACTAATAGAGACTTGCCCAACCTTTCATTGACTCAGTAAGACACAAGCCAAATTGTCTTCCTCTCATCCTTCCCCCAGATGCAATCCCATAATCTGCTTTCAGTCAAACAACAAAACTGAAACTGACATTGCGCATACCTTCCCTTATTTAAATTTGATATAAGTCTTGAAAGTCAAAGTTAGGGTGCACCCAGTATACTCAGTCGAGGGACATGGCAAGTGGACTACACAAGTACAGCCAACCTAGCCCGACACAGCGCGAGTTCAGTAGAACTTTTAACAAAATACTACACTCACAGTCGAGGGACTGCTTAAAGCGCATCAGCTAACCCGGAACTCAGTAATAGTTCCTCTCTTTTGTATGTTCAGCGACTACACAGGTATTCCGGAGCCGGCCGTGGGTCCCCGCTGCAGCAACCAGGGCTCACACAGTTGTTGACAAGGAAATGACAACAAGGGTGCTCAAAGGTTTCGAGTACTCAGACCAACGTAAAGGCATGATATGTATTCTTCACAGTCTGTATCCACATTGTATTCGGGATCAAAGGAGTTTTTACTTCCCCGACTTCAAGTCCCGACGTGCTAAGGGATCAGAATGTTAGGTCCTCATAGTCTGTATTCGCATCACGCTCCGGTTTGGATGAGCGTCTGCCCAAACATAGTCCACCATCGAGCCCCTAATAGACATGTCAACGCTCATGTCTCCCATAGCAGATTGTGGTTAGCAGAAGGCGCATCATCATATAGGCCACAACGCGTAACAGTATCTCAGCTTAAGCGCACCTAGCAACAGTGATAGCTCCAACTAATCAACAAGCTTCAGGTATGCCACTCAAACCAACTCATTTCGTCGCTCAACGGCTGCGGACAACCTGTTCAAAAATAGCCTGCTCGCACGTTTGGCTGCCAACCAACCTGCTCACTCGTTAGGTGATGTCAAACCTCCGCCCTCTTTAGCGCTCTCTCTCTCTCTCTCTCTCTCTCTCTCTCTCTCTCTCTCTCTCTCTCTCTATGTACCGGGACAGAACTAGTGGCCGGGTTCATACGCCTAGCAGGGCATCGAGGGCGAGTCGCTACGAGTTTTGGTTGATGTTCGTCCCATGTATTACCCCTTCTCCTCGGACATGCTACTTCAAGAATGAATATTCCGCTAACACCCAGAAACATTCATTGCGTACCAGTCAGACACGCTCCGTCATAGCAAGGGGTCCCTTTCATCAATGAGGCGAGCTAAATCAGAATGAATCTTCTGCTAGATCGGGGAAGATACGTCGTCATCTTAATGTTTCCTGTCGCACAACCACTAGGTAAGTATCAACTCATTTTCATTCGACGCTCCTCCCTTTGAGCTCCGCCAGCTAGCCCGATTGGTACTCTAAATTCGGTCTGTTGTGTTAGTCCCAGCGCAAGCACGAATCTTCCTCTGATACAACAAATAAAACTCAGAATGAATCTTCTGCTAAAACATGGAATTATTCGTTGTTCATTCGCGAATCTATCCTCTCCTTTTCCACGTAGTCCTTCCCTACTCCACCTCTTCTTCCCTCGACTTTTGTCATAATCGGCCTGCGGATTTGGGGTCGTACGGCCTTAAAATCCCTGAAACGCACCTTTAGTCCACTCGCTCTTCCCGCTCCTCTTATCCCGGCCATACCTCTTTTTCGGCCAATCTCGCGGACTGCAAACCCTTCCTATCTCTGTCTACACTAACTTTCTTCTAAATCTAACCTCGTCATTGGATTCGCAATACCTCAAAAACCCAAAAATGAGTTCACTCTTGCCAGTTTTCGCTAAGAAATGGGCGAGATCCGTGTTTCCTCATTTTTCTTCTCCTTTGTTTCTACCATCTCCGCGCATCCCATTCTTCACTAATTTCCCTTTACACTAATTTTCTTCCAAAACTAACTTCATCTTCGTGTTCGCCTCCTCCAAAACCCCCTATTCCAACACTTGGTTCGCCCGATTCCATCAAGGATCGGGCGAGAACGGTGATCTTTCCTTTACCATAGCTTCTTTCTCTACAACATCGCCCCGCTCACCTTTTTCATCTACCTCCATATCTATTAGCTACTTTCACATTCCGACTTCATCAATAGATTCGCCCGGGTCGAAAACCCCAGGAACGATCCTTCCTCCACCCGGTTCTATGAAGAACCACTCATACTAATCTATATGCGCTGCACCTTGTTCGACTCCTCGTCATCTTTAACTTTTCCCTTGCTTGTGCATGCGCCCGACGCAGCCCCTTCTCCAGGTTCGCTGTCTGCCCTCCTCGTTTTTCCTGCTAGGCCACCCTCTTCACCACGCTTTCCTTTGCTTAGCGCAACCTGATGACTCGCGGCCCACCTCACTAGCGCACCACTTTGGCCAGCGCAGCCTGGTCACAACACTCCAACTGTTTACTGAGGGAAACTTCGAAGAGAACTGACTGCTAGACGGTTCGATTAGTCTTCTGCCTCTCTACCCAAGTCCGACGTGTGGGATGTAACACTCTGGGCTTCACCGGAGTCCCGATGACCATGCTCTACACAAACACAACTCACCTCTGTCGGGTCCCCAAGGGTCAAACCCACACATAGACCGTTGACTCCGCAAGCCTATAACGTGAGCCTTGGTAAGATGGGCCCCGACATAGATCTTTGTGGTAGTAGAAAAATATTCAAATGAGAACTCTACAGTCCGAAGTGAAGAAGGTTTCACTGGTCAGTTGGGCACTCGACACGACTGCGCGCCTCCCCACTGTGTCCCTGGCCGCGGCCTGCCCCCGCTGGTCCCGATGGGCATGCTCACTCAAGTTCCTTTATGGCAGTCAGCGGTTGACGCACTCGCCGAATGCCCCTACTGCTGAGAATTTTTCGGCGTCGTAGGTCAAACCACTCACTGGCTTGTATGCGGGCCGAACTCCTCGGTCCGTACTCCAAGACAGTGGAACAGAGGACCCTTACCAACATCCCGAACATGCAAAGAACCTTTAAGTTAAATAAAAAAGGAGGCGTGTGCTCAAGATCCTCGACCCGCCGCGACGGCCTCCAAATCCAGCGTCGCGTCTGCGTCCGGAAACGCTAGAACAAAATAATAATACGACAGTAAATAAAAATATTTAGAAACTTTTAATCGTCAAAATATGACGAACGAGAAAAAAGAAAACGCTAGTACCGCTCTGATATCGCCGACGGCAGAACCAAGGGGAATAACTCCGTCGGACACGCAACTCCTCGATCCCTCCACAATGCTCTGATATTCTCGCGTTGTCGCCGCTTGGTCCTCGATCCCTGAATCTCTTTGATAAAAGTTCGACGTTGTAACCAATAATACTAGGCCCAAGTTTGGGTCTAGTTTTGACGGACACCTACAGAAGTGGATAATGTGCGACGCGTAGATCTACCGGAACGTTTTCAAAATCAGATTGTTGTCGACGTCGTCCTCCGTACGTACGCACAAGTCACAGGCAAACGCACCAATCAAGAAACAAAATATTTTCAATCAGAACAAAAAATTTGGGCGGCATCCGCGCCGATTTTTCAATCATCAACAAAAGAAGAGATCACGCGCGCCTCAAGTCTGTGCGCCCACACACTCTCTACTCTAGTCAACTGTCCAGTCAACGTAAATTACAGTCACAGCCTCGCCTCGCGCGGTATACTTAAACTTTAAATCAAACTTATTTTTCTGTCACTTGCAATAACCAGGGCGGATGCCCTTGTAAGGGTATTCGCACCTCTGATACCAGTGCGACAGACCCGCTGGGATGGCGGTCCGTCAGGATCAAGACGAAGAGGTGAGGAAGGAGGAGATGGAGATGGAGATGGAGATGGATGGGAAAGCGCACCTCCAACGTGGACTCAACACGCTCGTACTCCAATGTGTGCAAATGATGAAAGAGCCACTGGACTGTCAGGCCACACCCTGGTCCCACAGGCCGAACAGGCAAAACTGGTGACCGACAATCTCTCTGAATCGGCACCAGCGGGCCCTGGCCCCCACACATCCACGCCAAGGTCCCAGTTGCACGGATTAAGAGATTTCGAGCCGATCTTTGCCATCTACGATCAATTATCTCTTTATTCGTGCAAGTGGGACCTACAGACGTCCCCCGAACATAAAGCACCCCAACAATGAATGTATGCAAGGTGTCTTTCCTGTCCGGTACAGACGTAGTGAGGGTGCGTTGTGTTCGGGGGAAGACCCTGGCCTCTGGGCCTGGCGCCCTGCTTCGAAAACCAGCCGACAAATGCAAGCCAAGAGTTTATCCCCCCAGGATCAAATGGCGGGAACCTGGAAGTACACGTGGCAACCTTGGCGCGTGTAGGCATTGGCATCTATTTCGAACCACACGGCAAGCCTACCTCTCTCCTTTTCCCGCCACCTGTCGGACAGAAAATTAAACCGGGAACTACACGTGGCAGTCTTTTCTCTCTTCTACATCAAATCATTAGGAGACGATGTAGAAGGAAGGAAATCGAGTATTACGATGATGAACGGATCAAAGCTTACAAAAAAGAAGAAGAAAACGGCGATAAAAATAAAATTATCCGTTAGGACGTGAGCTGACATCCGTACTGAGAAAACGTGTGTTGGCCGCAGGGGGGAGGGCCATCGTCTATTATTTTTTTGTTTTTTTTTTAATTTCATTGTTCTTTTTCTTTCGTGTACTGGACCTCTCCGGAGCCATGTCAGCTGTGCGAGCATCCGTGGGCGCAGCGTCTGCGCAGCGTTGCCACGTGTTGGACGGGGAACGTCAGAGTCGGGACGGAAGGTGGACGACGAAGGATGCTGGAGTCAGACTTCAGCTGCAGCAGTCGGGAGCGCGATCGGATATTGTGGCGGCGGCTATGCATGGCTCTGTTTGTCGTTTGCGCACGGGGATGCTGAGACAGGCCAAAACTCTTTCTCCCATCCGTGCGCCCTCTCCTTCTTCTCCTCTTCCTCCTCCGCCCTCTTTACTTCAAGCTCGAGTGTTGGGGAGGCGATGGAGGTGTTCTTGCATCTCTTCTTCTTCGTCTCTCAGGGATGGCGATGGCGATGGCGATGACCAGGGCAATGGGGCTGGTAGGGAAGAAGGTGCACATGGAATTTTCGGCTGTCGCACACGGCTTGGCCGTGGGCGACGGGGGGGAAGTTGGATGGCTGTCGCACACCAACGAGAGAGCAGTGTGCGACGGAGGCGACGGGAGGAGCCGTTCACGGCAGCGGCGATGGCGGCCGAGAGCGATCCATCGCAAGGAGTGGCTCTGTACAAGCCGCAGTCCTACGACGTTCTCGTTGCTGGTAAGAGTATAATGTATGAACATTAAAAAAAAAGGAAGCAAAATTGAAATTGAAAGAAATTCCTTGATTTATTTAATTTTCATGTTGTTTAAATTTATCATTACAACAATTGAAAAAAGAAGTTAAAGGGAGTTATTTCCTCACTAGCCGGCAACCTGCCCCGCACATGAAACAGAGAGAGTGACCCAGAGGGAGGAGGAACGAGGCAAATGATGATTGTTTTTTATATTTTTTAGTAAGACAAGTGGTCCCGCCACAGCATAGCCGCGGCGCAGAAGAGGGGCGGAGGACGGGGCCAGATGGAGGACGAACGAGGACGGTGACATCAAACAGGACAGAGCACGCAGGTTTGGAATTGGAATTGGCAACAGAAAACAAACGCCCCTGTTTCACTCCATCGTTCTCTTGCTCGGCGTCATCAAAAAGCTGTATCATGCTGTTGTTCAGCAGCAGCAGCAGCAGCAGCAGTTGTCTGTCTGGGGGAGAAAAAAAGAGTCAGCAATGTTGAAAACAGGAAGACTAAGGCCAGAGTGCGGTGCAGAAGAGGGGCAGAGGATGGGGGGATAGAAAAGAAACACTACTAGTAGTGTTTTACTCCATCAGTTTCTTGCCCAGCACTATCTAGAAACTGTATCATGCTCTTGTTCAGCAGCAGCAGAAGCAGCAGCAGACTCCATTATTTTCTTGCTCAGCAATGTCGCCCTGTAGGCTGTCCAGCACCAGCGGAAATGTCCCTGGGAGGCAAACCGTCAACAGCAGCAGTAGTCTGAAATCGCTTGGCCGCTCTTGTCCTCCTGCAGTTGGACGCTGTCTTTAGGGGCCGGCTTTATCTGGAGTGGAGCTATGAACGTGGTGGGTGGCAGACGTTCACCAGAGTGACAAACAAATCAGATTCGAAAATTTCCCGCGATTTTTAAGCAAAAGAAAACATGCTTTCTCAGAGTTACAAAGAAAAGAGCGATTGGGGGATTGGACGTTTTCTTCGACTGAGAATTATATCCAAAAGACTGCAAACCAACGAATAAGATTGCGGGTCTAAAGAGCTGACTTCATGTTGAAAAAAAGCTGCAATGTGTGCAACAGCAAGCACGTGCGAATGAAATCACTTTTTACACACATACAAAAAAAAAAAAAAAAAAAAAAAAAAAAAAAAAACCCTTCAGACACGGGAGAAAAAATAAAAATAAAAAAATCCACACAGTGCACACACCAAAAAAAAAACAAAAAAACTCCTCGGGAGTTTCACCGACTCATCAGGAGGCTGAATATATATAGTTGGCATTTTTCACCATTATCGTTTTGGGAGCGTTGCGCGTAAGTCGACATACTTGGCAATTTTTTGCACGCACGCACGCACGCACGCGGTGGCTTCGTAAGAATGGGCCTGAAAAGTCCACACTGCCGTTTTGATTGGGCGCACCGGGATGGATAGACGTATAGGTACTTCCTGACGGAGGCACTCACGTGCAGACTGCTTCCAGTCCAAGTGCAGAGAGGCATGCATGCATTCATCATCTAGTACGTTGCATGGGCACACTTGGGTCTGTCGCAATGCTCGTGGCCTTGGGTTCGAAGCCGCGTGAGCGAGCTGTTGCCGGAACGTAAAAACATATAGCATAACGGACTGGCGTAGCTCAGTTGGTACACCTACGGTATTAACTGTGGAAGCATAGGACCTGAGTTCCAATTTCGGTGGAATTAGATGCGTAAAAATGCCTTGATATCTCAAGGGCATCGACCTTCTAACAAAAAACGAAAAAGAAAACGTGTAGCATATACTGTAGTGTAGGACCTTATGCGGTAGAAGGGGGACCACCGCCTCTTCCTCAATTCGCAGAACACGTATTACACACATGCGTGCATGCATGCACAACTCTTTTTTTTTTTTTTTTTTTTTCCCTTTTTTAGTAAGGGGTGATAAACGTATGCACAACTCATTCGTTCATGAAAAAACGTTTACCTGTAGAAATGTGCATGTCTGATCACGTGGCGGTGAGTCCACGCAGGAGACATCTGTTATCCGTAGCTGTTTTTTTTTTTTCCCAAATGAACGAGACCTTTATTTCCAAATGAAGAACCATGAGACCGGGAATACTTACTTTTTTTTTTTCTTCATAAATGTGGCCCGATGTACCATGGATCAGATATGAAATTGATCAGAACGGATACTACACTTGCTCTAGACTTCTTCTTTTTTTTTCCTATCTATTCTTAGCCAAAAGGTCGAGAAGGGAATCCTCACATTTCAGCTTCGAAACTGCCGATACCGGATGTCGCCATCGTGGAATCTCCATTACGCCATCACACACATGCACGAAGGTGTTACCCTAAACCTACCGGTAGTCAAGAACAACGCAACGACGCGCCACTCTTACCGTCATCAGCTAAAGCCAGCAGTAAAAATGCTATTGCAGAAAAAAAAGAAAAGAGAGAGAGAGAGAGAGAGAGAGAGAGAGAGAGAGAGAGAGAGAGAGAGAGAGAGAGAGAGAGAGAGAGAGAAATGGCATGCATTAAACATTCATTGTCGTGACAAGGTAAAGACACAACTGTTGCATGTCATCATTTTCATCTCCTTCGTTGTTGTTGTTGTTGTTTTAATAGCAAACCCATCAAAGGCTGGGAAGCGGGCCCGGCGTCCCTCACAACAGTTCCTGTGACTTCCAGCAGGATAAAAGCTGGGCACACCGGCCAAGGTTATCCCAACCCACAGTTGGAAAAAGAAAAGTATACTAAAGAAGGAATTGAAAAACAAAATCTATCACTGGCACATGCGTGCCAATGTTCAGAGATGGCCCGTCTCTTTATACAGCCCCTTCGAAAACCAGACCAACAGAAAAGTAAAGCACACACACACACACACACACAAACACACACACACACACACACACACACACACACACAGAGCTCTTGCAGGTCATTCAACCACAAGAGTTGTGTTGGTTTTGTTTTATATATTTATTTGCTTTTTTGTTGGTCGTTTGTCGAAGTGCAAAAGGAACACCTTATAGCAAATCGAGGAAATGAAAACGGTGTGAAAACCAACGGGGTTAGCTCAGTTGGTACAGTGTCACTCGTAAACTGTTGAAATACAGAAGTGAGTTCGAATCCAGATCGGACCAGATGAACGAAATTTCTTAAAAAACAAAACAAAACAAGACAAAACAAAACAAGACAAAACAAAACAAAACAAAACAAAACAAAACAAACAAACAAACAAACAGGAAACCGGTGTGAAATACTGAATTCAAGGTAACTGGATAGTAGGTCAATCAATTATAAGGATGCGTTGTGTTCGGGGGAAGAAGGTTTCAGGGTGCATGGACTCGATTACTGCTAGGTCGTGGAGGACTCGATAAGGTCGGGGTAACGATCATAGATTGGAGCTGGATCGGGATCTGGATTTGAGAGAAGTCGATATGGATGTGACTGAATGAATGTAAGGTGTGTTTGATTAATTAAATGGATTTAAATGTTAAATTCGGAGAATTTGCCAAACGGGCCTAGCTCAGTTGGCACAAGCATGAACTGTTGAAATGCCGACCTGTGTTCGAATCCAAATGGATCTAGATGAACGAAATCAAATATTTCTGAATTATCTACTGTAGGGCCGGTGAGTTCCCCCTGATGATATCTCAAGGCCGTCGCCCTTTTTACTTAAAAAAAAAGAAAAGAAATTCGGAGAGAATTTCAACAGCGTGGGTTTTCATTCCAATTCGGATAGGGTTTGATTCGCTTGAATTATGTTAAATGAAAGGCCTTCCACGATGCAGACCCCAAATTCGAATCTCAGGGTCAACTTGAAGTCCCAAGGCTAAAGGAGGCCGAGTCGGCCAGTTTCAGAAAGGCTAAGTCGGGTACCCGAGAAGTCAAGTCCAACAGGGACCCTGTCAACAACAGTCACATCGCAGGGGCAAAAGGCACATCCCATAGGCAAAGGTCACATCTCGCGGTCAAAAGTCATATTCCACAGGCAAGGGTCACGACCACTACTGTAGGCAAAAGTCATGTCTCATATTCTACAGGCAAAGGTCATGTCTCATAGACACCGGGGCACATTCCACAGATGGAAAGTCGTGACTCACAGTCCCAAGCAGCAGCACACCAAGGGAAATTCGTGGAGGTACCAGGCCTGGGACGAGTCCAGACTCCAGACCCAGTCCAAGTCAATATAAGGGCTGGCCAGCCGCATTTCAGACAGATTGCTCATCGTGAGAAGTGTGGAAGTGCTGCTGAAGCGCTTGTGCGCTATCTGCGAGTGGCATGCACGAGAGCCCTGCTGGGCAGCGCTGTGCTGAGAGGGAAGGCGGCCATAGCGGCACAGCTAGTAGTAGGAGATAGAGCCAGGTAGTCGCGGATGTATTCAGAGTTTAGATCTTCCAGTAGAGAGAGAGAGAGAGAGAGAGAGAGAGAGAGAGAGAGAGAGAGAGAGAGAGAGAGAGAGAGAGCCACCTACCTTAGATGAGGATGCTGGAATCGGGTTGTAGAACTCTGCGCTGATGGGCGCTTGGTGACTGGAACTCGGAAACTGTGTAATATGATAATTTGTTGGAATTTCTAAGCTGCGCTTATCTGGACCTTGCATCTCTGGTCTCCAGTGTGGATTGAATTTCGTGTGATCTGTCGTTGTGTGTGTGTGCTCAAGGTCGTCGAGCAGTGAGGCTCAATGCATAAATTTGATCGCGATTTTTATTTATTCTGACACATGGATTCCTCCAGAGTAGCCGTTTTTTTTTTTTTTTTTGCGAAGTTGACTTGCAGTTGGCTGAAGGTTGTGATTTGATCGGATTATGGGAGCTGTTCCTTTTTTTTCCCCCCCCAATTTTTTTTTTGTTATTTATTTGGACAATTTCTCGATTTATGCGTGTCATCCTTGCGCAGGGGCCATGCTAATCTTTTCTGTGTATCTATAACGGCTGCCCGGAAGGACTTTTTTGTTTTTATTTTTTAGGTCAGAAGATTCAATTGTTTACAGTTTTTTTTTTTAATGATCTTTTCCCAGTTGATTGCATCTGGATTCGAACTTGAGTCTGTGTATTTCAACAGTTCGTGGGTATGCCAACTGAGCTAGGCTCGTTGGTAAATTTGACAGTTTGGGTTCGGTGTTGCGTGACGGTTTTGATTTTTTTTGGTTTTTTTGGGGCAAGATCGGATTCTGGTTGTTGGAGGTGTTTGATATTTTTTTGGACAAGATTGGATTTTCTATTGGATAAAAAAAAAAAGTTCATAACGATTGAGATTTGTTGAATTCTTCCCAAAAAAAAACAAAAAATACAAAACGATTTGGTTGGATTCTGATTGGGCGGAACAACTCCGGAATCACGACGAGGAGGCTACTTGGACCAGAGCAATCTTCTTCTGCTTTTTTTTTTTTTTTTTTTTTTTTTATTTGCAGGACAGAGCAATCTATTGGATATGGTATGGGATAATAAACTGCCTGGTGAACCGTCAGCAGAGAGGGAGAAAAAGCACAACAAACGAGGGGCTGTGAGAGACTGCTTCCGAATCGTCAGAGTTTCACCGACTCATCACTTAGGAGGCTGAACCCTCGCTCCCTCTACGGTCTATACAGTCCCCTCACCGATGATCCTGTAAGTGATCATCCTTTTTTTTTTTTTTTTTTTTTTTTAACACTGACCGGTATCAAGCACAGTCGGTTTTCCCAAAAACTGCTGAAATACAGATCTCAGGGCATACTCACACTAGCACATACAATCGCAAATTATATGTGAGCCAATTTGCCATTTTAAGGCGGTTCCCAGTCTCACAGCACACCTGTATACGTCACAAAACAGAAAGGGGACAGTCTCGCTGCTCTAGAAAGGGGACAGTCTCGACCTGCTCTAGGAATGCGATTGTACGGGCCGAGGGGTCACACAGCACGATGCATTAAAATCCATCCCTTTTTCCTGTTTTTTTTTTAATTTCTCTTTTCTTACGAGAGCTGTCCACCAAACGTAGAATTCTTTTTTTTTTGTTTCCAGAAAGAAACAGGTCTAAAAGAAATATGCAATTGCGGGGACCTCCAGAGGTTTCCGCAAAATACGTAACCCCGCAGCTGTCCAAGCCGCTGACATTTACGTGCCCATTTGCGTGAAAATGCAAAATACGTAGCCTGTGTGATCCAAAAAATCACTGATAATTTACGATTTTATTGAAAATGCGTGCTAGTGTGAGTATGCCCTTAGTTCGATCCCGACAAGCTCAGGTGAGCCCAAAAAAAAGGCAGTGCCACATACAAATACAGCAGCACACTGACCTTGACATGACAATCTGCAATACCTGCGGGCACTTCTGTTGTGTCTTTTCACTGCTCCCAGTGGATACGCATCAGTGACCTTTTTTTTTTGCAAATAAATAAATAAGGGCGATGGCTTTTAGATACGTATCATCATTGAATTTATTCTCTTCATCTGAAGGTATCTGGATTCGAACCTGAATCTGTATTTCAACAGCTCAGGGGGTGTACCAACTGAGCTAGGCCCGTTGGTATCAGTGACCTTTTGTCTTGTTGTTGGGTCTCTTTGGACTGCTCCTTCTATGTTTTTTTCAATTTTTTTTTTTTTTTTTTTTTTATAAACAAAACTTGCAGCCTTATTATATATGGTGGAAACTGGGTTCAGCGTTCCTTGCATCAATGACACACCCAAACGCTTCCTTCCATCATGGTTGAGGGACCCTTAGGCGGCGGCATTGACTGCTCCTTTTCTGTTGTGTTACACTGTCAGATGCAGCAAGATCGGTTGGGCTCGGACTGGATGATGGACTAACACGCATGGAAGTAGAATTCCCGTAAGGCGTTCATCGACCTTTCTTTCTTCCCTCCCCTTTTCCTCGCTCCCCCCTTCGACCTCCTCT